AGCAGGACTTGTAAGGAAGACTTTCAAGCACAAGATCACAGGCAGCCATCAAACTATAAAAACAAAAATCCTCCAAAATGGGGTAAAATAAAAAAAAACTTTTATGAAGCAAGTTCATATGCTGGTAAAATTCTTTCTCTACATATTTAGAAAGCTTTCACAAAGCCCAATCAAACTTTAAACACTGGCAGGTTGTCCAAGGTCATTAATAAACCCTGCTGTGGAAAGACATCATGATGGCTCCATGCAAAGCTGTCTTCACTGCTCTCTATCCCATTCCCTGAATGTGCCAGATGGGAGCACTTGGTGAATACCACCAGGTCTGGTCTGTCCCTATCTTACATTCTAGATGAACGTTGATGAGGTGCCACTGGAATACAGATCAGCTGCTCACGGTCCTGCATGTTAACAAATCTTCATGTGTCAATAAATAAGCGCATCCACAAAGAGAAGGTAATCAGGGTACCATGCAGGCTTTGAAGAAGTCAGCAGTGTTCAAGGAATAATACAATCGAGGTTTTTCCTTAGTTTATCCCAGCTCTTCACTCCCCTCCTTATACAGAACGCAAATGGCAGTCTACTCTAAAATATTAACCAGATCTCCCTCAGAGTAACTAACTAAAGAAGTTCCCACCATGCCTCTGCTGGATCTCCCCTTCTGCTGTATCTCTGTAATTTGGGGTGGAAGTGGGTGTAGGTATTGTGCTACAAATCAGGTCATTAAAATGATCTAGATTAAAAACCAAAAGCTTTGTGGGCCAAAAAGACATAGTTCATGAAGCACCTGGTTCTACAAACAACTAGACAAGCACATCTTAAAAGGTGAGAGGCTGCTATACCAGGGAACTAGAGCAGCTGCTCAGAAGCTTCTTAAAATCACCATGGAGCCAAAATACATCACATAATTATGCCCATAGTAGAACTCCAGGCTGTGGAAGTGTCTTAACACTTCTCAGCATATCAGTAACCTTATGCAAATATAATTGTTCACTTAAAGGAAAGATTTCAGATACTTCTTCGGTTGTTACTTCAATTACAAACCAACACGTTCTTTCTTTGCTTCCCTAATGAACATACCTTAGAGGGATCAATCCTTTTTTTTTCTTTAAAGTTTGCCTTCCCCAGTTTATTAGAAACATCTTATTTTGCTTTCTAGTCTCTTTTTATTTCTAATATATTTAGTAACATTTTTGGAGGCTTGGGAAAAAAGAGTGCTCTCTAAAAAGATGGCTGGTTTCAATCTGTCAGGAAGTAAATTTTTGCCCCAGGTGTCATTTTCAGGAATTTCTTTTTATGTCACATAGAACAAACCTAGAAAAATAATGTTTCCTGTTTTACTAGTTCCTTTTAACAAAATTAGGCAATTTGAAAAGCATTTTTAAATCAACAAACCCAGTACTAACATTCTGGGTTTTACATATATGCCAAAGCTTCCTCTTTTTTTAAACAGTGACAGTACCTCCCTGTTAGTTTATATAAGATTAGGTTGCTGTTCGGGGTTTTTTTTACAATAAACGTAAGTAACTACAAACGTGAAAAGTCTCCCCAGTCATTCTCTAAACTAATATTTTCTTAGAAAAAAGGCCAATGGAAGTATGAACAGAGGAATAAATCTTTAAGCAAAGTAACAGTTCTTGCAAGCAGCTAACCTCAGCGGAATTTACTTTTGGGTGTGCAGCAAAAGCTGAAAATAACAGAATCTTGTCCACAGAAAGAGCAAGAAATAGAGCATAAAGCTTAAAGTTGTGACCAGTGACAGAATTTAGAATTTCAGGATGAAAACTCCTTCAAACCAATGCCAAGAGAGAATTAAAAAATGACACATACCTTATCTCCTTGGAGAAAGTCATTTTCAACTTCTATTGACCTTGGTCGTAGCTTTATAGGTTTGTCTTTGAAGATATCTCCAAAGCCAACACCCTTGACCTTTTTGGGTTGGATTGTCGTGCCTCCATTAGCTCCTTCTGATTTTGTGCTGCAAGAGTCACCACCATCACTCTCAGAGCCCGTAGCATCTTTCAGGCCTGTGAAATGGGGGGATGAAAGAAGGAATCTTAGTTCCCAAGTTCACTATTTTCAGAACAGATTGTGACTGGAAAATGATCCCTCCCTACCACTGTCTACAGGATAGTGAAATCACAAGAAACACGTAGAGAAGATGGTCTCTGTGCCATGCGCTCGTTTTTTAGTTTTAAAAAGAACTTTATTTCAACACAGTGGTGTACCAGTTGGAACTTAAGACCAATCCAAAAAACATGCACACTCCAGCGTCAAAACTTCATGAATGAAGACGGCCATTCCTTGAGTATCAAGAAAATCCTTCCTCCTTCAGACAAAAATTATTTGGGAGAGAACGCAATAAATAAAATTAAATAGTTAAATTCAATTCTAGCCATTGTATAAAGCCACTTCAAGCTAACAAGCAGTCAGACCAGGTATGCTGTACCATAAATCTGTGTGACTCATACCAAGCCATTTATGCAATTAGTATCTAAAGCTACATTACCTAACTGGTAATATAAAGCTGAAAGCTGTTTATACAAATTTGCAATCAAATAAGCTGCATAATATGTTCCCTGCTGAAAATTAAATTTCTGCAGCATAGACAGCCTCATAAGAAAAGCGCCCATGCACAGTATCCTCTAGGAATACAATAAATAAAAGCTGACATTCTGATTTGCATTACTTCACTCAGTGAATAGGAAAATTTATCTGCACTTATCTGAAAATATCTCCTGTTTGAAGAGCAGAGGCCTCATTTGCAATACAGTGATGCTTCAGCCACATTAGAGAACAGTGCAGAATCAAGCCAAACAGTCACTGGCAACAAAAGTGACCCACTGAAGTTCTCCTCCAATTGAAACAGTCCCCCAGATCATTTAAATCTTCCTTCCTCCATTACAGATCGATGTAACTTGTTTTCCCAGGAAAACCACAGCAATTGTGGCTACTACAGCACTAATCCTACCTAATAATTACATGCTTAGTTTCTTACATTCCCCTCACAAGCATTTGTGGTGCCACTGATGTGGATCTTAGATTTAAAAGACAGAAAAATTTCAAGTAAGCTTATCTTTCTAATTATTTTTCTATCAAGATCCACAAAGTGATTATAATGGATTTTCATCGTAAGATGCCACCAGTACAGAAGATTTTTCTTTAAAATCCAGACACCTAAAATCAAGTAGAAACTATGCACGAACCTCTTTTCCTTTGGTAAGTCAGTAATGTTAACCCAAAATTATCTGCGTTTCTGCCAAAGGGAAAGAAATGGCACTAAGATTGGGCAAAGTCTACTGGATCCCTATAAAAGGGTTGCAAGTAGTGAAGCATGTGGGAAGTTTTATAAAATCTTTGTAATGCCTCAGTTTGTATAGTTCTCTGATGTGCATAAACAACAGAAACAGAATAGTGTTCCTGAGCTGAAAGCATCTGAATATAGTTTTCAGCCTAGACCAGAACATCCCTTCAAAACCTGAGGAATCACCTAAAGAAAAAACATTTTTACAAAGTCCGTGAAAATCTTTATTAATAAATTTTTTAATATTAAGAACAACCGAATCCTTCGCTTTTGAACTCCCAACTCAAGTGATGGCTTTGGTTTCAACAAACTGACAGTCTCCATCCAACAACTTTCTGTCATGTTGGTGAGCAACGATTTCTTTGGGGGTAGACTTCCTGTTTTCCTGGCAATTAACTGTTTAGGAACACAAACACCAAGTAAAACATAGTGTTTTCTTCCAGGTCTTCTTTCAGCTTCCTCAATGAACCACAGAAACCACTGTGAATCCTGAGGCCTACAGGCACAAGTGTACAATTCAGGTAAATTAGTTTCAATATCAGGGCACTGCTAGGATAGGAAATCAGGAATTATGTGTTAGGCCAGGATTTTTAGCAAAATTGTTAACCAGAAAAACCATCATATGCTGGTTTGAGATTTTATGTATCTCAAGCTTGAAAGGAGTGTGAATGTTTCCAGTTAGAAACAAATAAAAAGACTCAAGACTAAGCAAAATCCTTAGGTGCTCTGACCTTCTGAGTGGGTTCTGCATCTACTTGGTGAATAAAAGTAACATTTCTATTTCTTTGAGAGTTCAATTTTGATAGCACTGAACAAGTTATTAATTCCATAAACTGTGCAAGACTAGAATATTAAAGAATTCTAAATAAAAATATTACAATTATTTTCCTAAATATGTTGGGGTCTTGATCTCTTTATTTGGACCACTTCATTTTCCCAAGAAAGGCCTGCTGGGAAAACTTTAAATCTGGCTTCACTGGTTTATTATGGTAGTTTGAACAGCAGTATTCCTGAATTCTGTATGCTCCTTCTCTTCCAGAGCTCATGAAAGCAATAACCAGGGAATTCAAGCATTCACAGTGATCCTGCCCTGTGCTGCTCCTGGGGTACGCGGGTGGCTACCTGTAGCAGAACCATTCCATGACACAGAGGCACTAAGAGATGGAAGGGTAGATTCATTAAGGTTCTGAGGTATAAATCTCTTCAGGCAACAAATCAAAGTCACTGACTCCTTCTTACTTCTACATTTTGTTGTGACCTCCTAATAGAAGAAACTGTAAGTTCTACTAGCTGGACCTTTCCCAGAGTTGCAAAATACCAGTCACTAGAGCTGTGGCTGAGATAGAGGTTAAACCCAACTTTCTATACTGCTTCTAAATGAAAAAAGAAAGGTCACTGATCAACTATAATGAGTTAAAAATAATACTTCTGAGAATAAAATGTCTATAACTTGAAAAACTCAAACATATCACAATGATCGTCATCTCTTTTCTGAACAAAAGATCTTCATAATATGAGATAGGAAAACTACCCTCTGGCAAAGGTTCCCTATTTCATCCTTGCCAGAATTTCCTCTAAGTACTCTGTGATGGAGTGAAAAAGCAGTGCAGAGACCACCCTCCACAGGTAATCTTAACTGATCCCTCCACCAGATATTAACTGATAGGATCTGTGACTACTCTTAGCCACTCCCTTAACTGAAAAGATATTTTTAAAACATCTTTCCTGCATTACTAATTGTGGAAGAAGAGGACCCAACCCTGGCCAGTTGTCAGAAATAAAATATGGAAGTAATTAAGGAAATTACACAACACGTCTCACATGGACTTCCAGATCTTTGAAGCCTGAATGAAAGAGAGACCACAAAACTCAAGGGGCTCAAATAAGAATTAGGCTTTTGTTTCTGGATTATCAATTGTTTTTCATTAATGCAACTTTGTAATTTGCTACCATCCTTCTATGATGAGACATCACACCTTGTATCAGAAACCTCAACTTGGGCTTTAAAACAGATTTCCCTAGTATCACCAATCACCAACCCACTTAATTCTCAGTGCTGCCACAGAGCTTTGTCTTAGTATTCAGTCCTCATAATAAAAGCCACATAGGAAATAACAGTAGTTTTTTAAAAGATATTTTTTAATGAGGACAGAACCGACTGAAGTGATGCCTGTCTAAACTAAAATTCATTTGAGTGGCTGGATACAAAGACCAATCTTACAAAGCTCCTTCAAAGTTATGAAATCTTCCCTTGCCAATTGGGAAAACTACATCATTTTTTATTTTTTGACGGACAGAAGCTGAGGAGCCCTCTGGACTTCAATAAACAAGAAAGAATAAAACCCATAGATTTTCCAAGAACTAGTCTGCTCTTGCTCTTCTCACTTCATGGCTGAGGGAAAAAGGCAAAGGTGACAGAAGGTTTATATGCAGTGGAAACTGAGAACAAATTAGATAAAATTAAAATATGCAGTAATGTTAAGAAAAAATAAGTACAAAATAGTCCTGAAGAAAATAATCTTGGTCTTACTATTAAAGATGTGCTAAGAGTCTCCTACTTTCCTCCCATGGTACATGAGATATACACCTCTGATTTGTACAGATAAAGAACTTGCAAGAATTTGCAACAGTATGCCCACACTTTCCTGACAAATTCGCTCATTTATTTTTTATTGAGTTGTTCACTGATATATATAAATATATGCACACATATATGCATTTACAATTTATGAATATATATATACACACACATATATACACGTGCAATTCTGTTAGAGCAATCCTGCCAAGGGAAGCTGCACTGGCCTCCATAGCCCTGCCTGCAACAGGGAAGGGATGGCTGATGTGATCCCTCCTCTTAAAACTGGGAAAATGTCCCTCTTTCAACCACACTCTTTTTTTGTTTTGTTTTGTTTTATTTATTTTTTTTCCCTTCAGCTTTTCATGGCCTTTTGCACCACTAGTGCATACAGCTTAGTAGAAGAGAGCTGGGGAGACAGTTTTCCCAATAGACATATGTAGGCCACAGATACAGCTGGGAGCTAAGCAGGAACCTCAGTGAACTAGACTGTCAGCTTATGATTTTTTAAACATTACATTTTCTGGGAGAAGAGTTACAGTTAGCAGGGAAGTTAGGTTGCTAAATGGGCATTAAAAACTGCAGAGCATTTCAGCTGGCAAAGCCATCTGCTGCTGCTGACCAATACATCCACACAGTTTAAAACAGCTGTGGTAGAGCTGTGAACTCAAATCCTAAGGTAAGGCCAGCAGCTTGGCAAACTTCGGTCCTCAGAAACACAGGGCATGCCTTTTGCTTTTCTTTCAAATATAGCCAGGACTGGATAAAAGTTATAGTAGTTAGGCCTCAAACTACTTTTTGAAAATTTCTGCTAACAGCAATTTTCCTACAATCTGTCAGCTATCTGCCAGCATTTGGAGAGCTGACAAGCTAACATCAAGATAACATCAACAAGGTGCTCACTAATGTGCTTCCTATCACACCGGTCCTAATAGTAGGAAAATTCTGCAGATCTTTTAAATTTGTCAGGAATGAACTAAGGCTTTTGGGGGGTCACTTCCCATTTCTGGTTCTATAACCAAACCCACTTCATTCTTTTACCTAGATTTCTTGTTGATGAATCATGTCCACCACAAGGCAGAGCTCAAATCTGAGTGCTGGGTGTGCTTTTATAGTAAACTTCTTAAAGTCTAAATGAGCAGCAT